GCTGAACTGGCTTTGCAAGGTAACTTTTCTGTCTCCTCTTAGAAATATTTTAATGTACGGAACAAATGTCACTGTCCTATTTGAGTTGTTTTTAAAGTGTGTGTTTTCTACATCTTTTTTAACCTTTTTTCCTAAGGTTTCCTATGCACGACCAAGTTCAGTTTCTATCAGAAATGCGAATTTGTATGTTAGTGGACTTCCAAAAACAATGGCTCAGAAGGAACTGGAACAGCTCTTTTCCCAGTATGGGCGCATTATTACTTCTCGAATTCTGTTTGACCAAGACACTGGTAAGTAGGCAGTTTTTCATGGCCTCTCATTTTTGAACTAGCAGTTTTAAGAAATATTTCATCTTTCAGTACAATAGTCTTGTCTCTGTAATATCTAAAAGGCATCCATAGACCAGAAAATGCATTTTTCTCTTGGAATTGTATGCATGGACAAAAATAGACTGTGGAATGTACTGAAGCAGTTTGAGTCATTTCCACCCTGAAGGTGCAGCTTGATGACTTGTAATGAATTTACAGCTGCTGTAATTTTACTTGCCAAGCTGCTGCATGAAAATAGTCTCTGAGCACCTTACAAAATGCTATTAAACTTCTTCTAAAAATAAATTTTTATGCAGAAATGCACAGCTGGTTCTCTGAGGCTAGGATTACAGAAGACCCAGACAGGTAATTTCTGTTAAGACTGTTTTCAAGGTTGCCTCATTAACTTTGGGTATACACAGGAACTTTGGAGTTCCTCAGGAGCAGATAATTTCTGTGATTAACCATGTCTTGAAGTACTAAGCTGTAGCAGGTTGTTTGCATTGTTGCAGTATGTGTCTCAACTGGGGAGTGGGTGTCAGTGACAATCTGTAGCTACTCTTCAGACTCAGACAGTAATGGATGTGTTTTTGCTGTCTCAAATGGCCTATCTTGAGGAGCTTTCTAATTTGCTGCTGCCTCACCTGCTGTGAGGTCTGTTCCAAAAATAAGCAATTGAATGAAATGCCAAGTACATAACAAATATTGAGTGTACAAAGCAGCATGCAAAGAACGCTAAGGTTGCAGGGCAGAAGAATACATTTACTTGCATAATTGTTCACTGAATAATAAGGTAGGTTGGATCTTTTTTATAGCTGTACCTTTTCAAAGTTGCGTGTCATCATAGGTGACAGACAGCTTTCAGCTGTACAAGGTCATAAAGTTTTCAAGTTGTCCTACTTTGAAAGGGTTGTGCATGCCAGTTCGACTCTCAGCTGACCTGTAGAGGAACTTGTATGTACTCCTTTGCAATTTCACTATGTTAGAATAAATTGCAATACTGACATAAGACAGAGTGTTTTAATAGTGTGAAATGTTGTGAGTGTAGAGAGGCATCGAAAGGAAAGTTAAATGCCAAATACTGACTTGTAGAAGCAAGTCAGATTTGAGCGTCAGATTTTCAATCTTTGTGTGATAAATAGCTGTTTACAGTGTATTTCTGTATATTCGTTCATAGAAATAGGTGGTATTTGGCAAATGGGTCATTAAGTAAATCTAATTAAATTTGTAATGTGCATTGTAATTCAAAGTATGCATAAATCTTGGTATTCATACAGTAGCTTTCCGGCACAGGCTCTTTTTCAGGTTTAAGCTGTCTTCTCTCCTTCTTAGTAATTTGGAAGCAATAGGCTCAAAATGGTATGATTAATAAGGTTGTGACACAAACTGACAGATAGAAAATGCAAAGTCGTAGCTGTGACATTTGTCTCTTTAAAGCTTTCTTATGCCTTCTCATTGTCACTTTGATGGTTTAAATCATTACTGTTTATGAACAGAATACATTTCTTGTCATTAATGTCTTCCTCAAGTGAGTACAAGCGTATAACGTCTGTTTATTCATGAACTAAAATTTAAAGGGCCTTTAAAAGGCTTTAAGAGTATTACAACAAAACATTCAACTAACTAATGTTGGCTGTTAGTAGCTATAACGTGAATTGATCCAAATATCAACACCTCAGTGTGTTTGTGTCTCTAAGACACTAAAATTTTTTGATATGTGATGTCCCTAAGACCTTCCGTAAACACTTTCTGATCCCCTTGCATGTTGTCTTTGACTTTCCTATATCAAGAAAAATTTCCCTCAAAAATAACACCTAGTGTGGTGTATAGTGCTACACTGGAACTTCATCTTACTTAGTGGTATCCGTAGACTGTTAAAATATCGTCACAGCTCCCATTACTGCAGTGCAGAACCTGCGCATCATCCACTCAGTATATTTGCTCCAAAGGGAGTTTCAAAGAGTACTGTAGGAGAATGTAAGCCATTTTTGCTGCTAGAGAGTAGGTAACTAACCTATTTACAGAATTTCTGTGAATTTAGGTACTGCAGAGTTGCATGAACTGACCAGAAGTTACAGTGCAGCTGGTTTTGGGTTTGTCTCCACTCAAAAATTGCTTTTGTTTCAGAATTCCTATCTAGCTCACTATGTTTAAGTTGTTTCCACTCCATTCTTTCAACCTTCCAATATTTTTATACAAATGTCTTACATCAGTTACAGTAAAAATAAAGAGTAAAGTAACTGTAGAAAATTTTCACTGTGAGCAAAATCTTACTTCTGTTAAGCTCAGATTTAGCATGTGTTCACAGCAATTGACCATTGACATAACAATTGACTATGAAAATAAAATGTTAACGTTTAGTTAATTATTATATGCTTCCTTCACTCTGTGCAGGGCTATCAAGGGGCGTGGGGTTTATCCGGTTTGACAAGCGAATTGAAGCAGAAGAAGCTATCAAGGGCTTGAATGGCCAGAAACCTGCAGGTGCCACAGGGCCCATCACTGTAAAGTTTGCTAACAATCCAAGCCAAAAAAGCAGTCAGGCCATTCTTTCCCAGCTGTACCATTCTCCAAACAGGAGGTATCCAGCGCCTCTAGCTCAGCAGGCTCATCGTTTTCGGTAAGTTGAATACATGTGTACAACTGTGCTGGAACTTGGATGTTCCCACGGACTTGTTTGTTTGCCTCCATTCTTGCACTTGCCTGTTTGTCTGATTTTTGTGTGTGAAGGAAACACAGGAATGTTGAACTTTAGCTATTCTCCTAGCTAAAAACAAAAATGCATGCCATCCTATGGATAGCGTTTCAATGTCTAATAAACTTCCTTTGTTAAACCAAGATGATATCTTTTTCTACTCAGTCACTATTTTTTTTTTCAAAGATTAGTTTTCATTTTCTTGATTATTTTTGATTAATACACAAGTTGATTCAGTTAACATTGACCTTAGGCATATAGCTATACAGCATGCTACTGCTAGCCTCCTCTTCCACACCCACTGCTTTTCCTCCCCATTCTGGCTTTCAGGTTTAACTTTGTCAGTGGTCTTAAGTCCTCCATGCTACACTTTGTCTTTTCTTCTTACAAACTTTAGTAATGAAGATTATTCAAATATTTTTGCAACTGCAGCCATACAGTTCCCTGTGGTATTTAGTGTATTGAAAAGGGCAGATGATAAGAACAAAGCGAAACAAATACTGTATTATCTGCATTCATGAGTACCTTGGATTTTTTTCAGTGACTTTCATTTCTTCCTGAAATACCCCTCTGCCCCTGAATGATGTAACTAATGTGTTACAGTAATATGCTCAAGCAGCTTCTGTTTTATTTTTAAAGAAATAAAATCACCTGGCACTTTGATTCAAAGAGAATGTACTAAATTTCAAAAGCTCTGCATTGGCTGCCCTCGCTCTTGGGCGAAATATTCAAGAGTCCATGGACTGAACTTTTGTCAGAACTTCTGAACTCTTATTTTCTTCAGCTTTTCAGCATTATATTCTGCAAGTGTCTTACAGGTGTAAAGGTCATCAGTAGAGTAAGCTTTCTGTCCTAAAGGAGGGGGATAGTCAGTTTAATTTATTTGGTGGATTTTCGTAGCATTTCTTAGGGAATAAAAGGGTTAATTTGTAACAGTGTGCTAAATATTGTGTAAAAATAGACTTGCCTTTGTTCCATAGGCAGAGTATCGAGGCAGAAGTTGCATTTGCAGGATGGACCCAAATGCGTTGTATGAAATAAGATCGCAGGAATCTGTGTTGCAGCATTCAGCATATTCTGGCAACTCTTGGTCTGCTGACTTGTAAAGTCCTTCTGACTGCTCTTGTTCCCAGATGCTCATCTGTCTTTAGTTTCACACAGATGATGGTTGGCATAGTATCTGTATTTAACCGATACTACAGGCTTCAGAGCTTTTTCTTTGGATAAGACCTGTTTCTTTGCCAGTTAATAATTTCAGAAGACTACCCCGGTCCTGCAGCTTTAGCTTTGAACCTTAACTTTATTTGACTTGTGGAGATTTGAGAATATCCATTTAAATTTCACTGGAAAGTTGGTCTTTTCTGAGATACTGTGTAAAGTAATGCTTGAAACCACCTTAAGAGACACTGATTTGCCCAACTTAAAAATGTAATGATAACAAAAATGTTGAGTTTAGGTACCAAAGTCTGTAGTAAACTGGAAGAGGGTAAAATGTTTCTTTATTGATGTAAAAGGAAGAAAAGGTTTAACGGACTGGTCTGAGATTGCCGACAAAATTAGATTTTAAAAATTATTTTTGACAATTTTTTTGTAGTATTTTTGGTGAAGGCTGTCAGGCTTATGTTTCTACACTAAGAGAGACAGTCTTGTTAAATTTAAGATTTTTAATAAATTGAAAGGGAAATTATTTTGTGCTTTTTAGGGCTTTGCATTATTGCAGCATTCTAGATCTGGCACTGACTACATAGTGCAGAGGGCACCAGTGCTTCAGATCTTTCATGTGTGACATGTGCAAGAAATCTTAGCTCTTGATCTTTCAGGCAGGATCGCCTGATGCAGTTACTCATCTCTGTTAACACCTGACAGAGGCCTGAAAATAGTCAGCATAAACTTTAATAGTAAAAGCAACAGGATCACAGGAACAATGCTTCTTTTTCTTACCAGGAGAAAACTTGAGCTAGACTTTAAAAAGCAGCTCTGTATAATTGCTTCTCAGTTTCTATGGATGTGTAACTTACAGCATCTTTAAAAACTGTCAGGTGAAAATCCCTGAGAACCTTTCCAGAGTATTTTCAAGTCTTCCAGGCAACCGGTGATAAATTTTACCATGGTATCATTATTGTACAAAGTCCTTAGCTGGCTGCTCTACATGAAGGACCTGTAAGTGATGCTGTTTCTAGAAATCTTCATCTTCCTCTTCAACCCCAAATGTCAGTGAAGCTGATTCCAATGGGATGAGGTTTAACAAGGCCAAGTGCTGGTCCTGCACTTTGGCCATAACAATCCCATGCAGCTCTACAGGCTGGGGACAGAGTGGCTGGAGAGCAGCCAGGCAGAAAGGGACCTGGGAGTTTGGATAGACAGAAAGCTGAACATGAGGCAGCAGTGTGCTCAGGTGGCCAAGAAGGCCAATGGCATCCTGGTCTGGGTCAGGAACAGCATGGTCAGCAGGACCAGGGAGGTGATTCTGCCCCCTGTACTCGATGCTGGTGAGTACTGCCACACCTTGAGTACTGTGTACAGTTCTGGGCCCCTCAGTTCAGGAAGGATATTGAGGTGTTGGAATGGGTCCAGAAAAGAGCAACAAGTCTGGTGAAGGGACTCAGCACAAGTGCCATGAGGAGAGGCTGAGGGAGCTGGGATTGTTTATCCTGGAGAAGAGAAGGCTCAGGGGAGACCTTATCACCCTCTACCACTCCCTGAAAGGAGTTTGTAGTCAGGTGGGGATTGGTCTCTTCTCCCGGGCAATCAGCAGTGGGACAAGAGGGCATAGACTGAAGTTCTGCCAGAGGAGGTTTAGGTTGGATATTAGCAAGAGAATTTTTACAGAGAGAGTAGTCAGGCATGGGAATGGGCTGCCTGGGGAGGTGGAGGTGGTGGATTTGCCATCCCTGGACGTTTTCAAGATGAGAATTAGTGCCATGGTCTGATAATGACAGTAGGGTTGGACTCGCTCCTTGAGGTCTCTTCCAGCCCAGTTGATTCTGTGATTCTGTGATCTCTGTCATCCATTCTAAGTCTACTGATGGTAGTCAAGCATTTTGAATTTTTTTCTTTTCTGCTCTTTTAGTTATTCAATGGCTTATTTTCTTGGCAGTGTATTCTGCAAGCCTGGCTCACTGCAGAATCCTAATGTTCTGTAGTTTGAGAACTGAATCAAATGTACCTTTTCTATGTAACCTCGTTTTGTGGAGTCCTGAAAAGAACCTATAATATGGCCTTTCTGCCTTTAAGGGAGTCCAGAGTTCCTCCCAATTTAGTATCAGCAGCAAACTTTCTTAGTATATATTTGAGTCCTCCATCAAAATAATTTATGACGATGTTGAAGACCATTGGGCCAACATGGAGTTCTTAAGGACCCCACGAGTGGCCAGTCATCAGCCTGATGCAACCCCATTCATTATAAGCCTTTGTGCCGGAACCCTGTGAGCCAGTTGCTCACCCATCATGTGATGTATTTATCTAGCTATGTGCTAGACATCTTGTCCAAAAGCATCCTGGGAGAGACAGAATCAAAAGCTTTACTGAAATCCAAAAAGATTACATCAACTGGTCAACTAGATGGATTGTCATAAAAGGAAATTAAGTTTGACATGCAGGACTTTCCCCTTATGAAACTGTGCTGTCTGTGACCAATGATTGTATTGTCCTTCAGGTGTTTTTCAATTCTTTACAGAATAATCTTTGCCATAATTTTAGCAGGCACTGAGATTGATAGGCCTGTAGTTTCCAGTGTCAGTATTCGTGAAATCTGGGACAATATTAACTAGCTTCCAGTCAGCTGGGACCTGTCCAGATTCCCAAGTCCATGCAAAAATCATTGCGAGAGGCCTTGCGATGACATCAGCCAGCTCTTTGAGTAATCTTGGATTAATCCCATCAGGCCCTGTAGACTTAGAGTGATCCTACTGGAGCAGCAGATCCTGCAGAAGTTCAGGGTGAACTGGGAGTTTATCATCACAGCCATGGTCCTGCAGCTCAGGCTCAGGGGACCTTCTTTAGCCCATAATCAGCACTGAAGACAGAGGCAAAGAAGGCATGAAACCTCTCTGCCTTGTCTGTGTCCCTGTTCGTGAGGTGACCATCCTGATCAAGTAGTGGCCCAGTGTTATTTTCGGACTGCCCTTTTGATTGACATATTTTAAAAAGCTTTTTTGTTGTCCCTCCACAGCATTGGCCAGCTTCAACTCCAGCTGAGCTTTGACTGCACCAGTTTTCTCCCTACAGTGGCAAGCTGCGTCTCTGTATTCCTCCCATGTCACCCAACTTTGCTGTCACTGGACATACACTTGTTTTTTTTGCCTTAGTTCCAAAAGCCCTGCTCAGACAAGCTGGCCTTCTGCCTCACCTGCTTGACTTCGAACATTTCGGAATTGCCAAAAAGAGTAGGAAAACAGAAATCTTTTTTGCAGTTCGTGTTGCGACATTTGTTACCACTTCAAAATACTTCATCTGTCTTGGTAGTCTGTCAGCAAACTGTCAGAGCCTCAATAAAGCTCTTCATCTAAACCAAGTCCATAATATGAAAGATTTCACTGATATGGTCACTGACTGTAACTTTATGCTAACAGTATTTGACTTGGGGTAAATTTGTGGTAGTGGATCACTGTATGAAATGAGTATTTTATGGTGTGGTTACTACACAAGAACATCTATTATGTATTGAATAATGTAATAAGGTGCCACAGCTCTTTCAGTGGTGGTACTTTAACATTGCATGGGATGCACTGTTGGTTTCATTTTTTGTAATCATGAGTGGAGTCTTTGATCATCTTGGTTATTGATAGGTGGCTCACATTAATTTGTGGTTGTGAAACAAGTGAAAATTTGAAAGAGAAGCAGGAAACTAAAAAATACTGAGAGACGGGGGGAAAAAAATCTGTAGGCTAATACCTGAGCTTTTTGTAATATGATTACTGGGAATGGCACAGTGATATACTGAATCTTAGAGTGGAAAAGTCTGAAGGCTGAACGCGTTGCTCTGTTTTTTAGGTTGGACAATCTGCTCAACATGGCTTATGGTGTAAAGAGGTAATAATAAAGGACTGTTTCTTTGGCAATAGCTAGATTATATTGAAGTTTTCAGCATGCTCTTGCTTTTCATGAAGACTTACGTTGTATTTCTGCGTATTTAGACTTCCAACTAAGTGTCTGCATTTTGATTCATTGCACATGAAATAGACAAACCTTTTGTGGGAGTTTGATGGAATTGCTCTTTCAAACGATTCGGTGTTCCTCCCTGGATTTATAGCATGCTTTTCTTTTGGTTTTCTATGTTACATCATTTCAGAGATACTTTTCACTGTTAACCCTACTTGTGTATAATTTTTTACATAATATTTGTGCAGTTTGGAGACAAAAAAATATTTGTGATGTTACCTTATTAGTCTGAGGTATGTGTTCATTCTGTGAAAAGCTTTATCATTTTCTTACTTATTTTGACATTTCTTTGCTGGGATTTTGTGTTAACAGCTACCTTATGATTCTGTTTTGTTTTCCCTCATTCTTTAGTAGGTTTCCTCCAATGAACATTGATGGAATGACCAGTTTGGCTGGAATTAATATCCCTGGACGTGTAGGAACCGGATGGTGCATTTTCGTGTACAACTTGGGCCCTGATACTGATGAAAGTATACTCTGGCAAATGTTTGGACCCTTTGGAGCAGTAACCAATGTGAAAGTCATCCGTGACTTCAACACCAACAAGTGCAAAGGTTTTGGATTTGTGACCATGACAAACTATGATGAGGCAGTTATGGCAATAGCCAGTCTGAATGGATACCTCCTTGGTGACAGAGTGTTGCAGGTCTCCTTCAAAACAAACAAAACGCACAAAGCCTAACATGTTATTCTCAGTGCATTAATACATGAAAACTATACAACAAAGGCAATTTACAAGAAGCATTATGCATTAGTAAATGCCTTTGTTGTATGCCCGTGTGGAAATGGGGATAAAATGACTACTTAGCATCCTAAGAATGTGAGAGATTTTTTTATTGTTGATATTTGAATTAGAACTTCCTAAATGTCTTTTGTGTTTGAATTTTGACAAGAGGTACAGGGTTTTTACCTGTTGCAATGCATATGCTATTGCCTTCTTTGAAGAAGGTGGACCTTCTGAAATATTTCAGTTAAAGGAAGTTTTTTTCTTTTTACATGACTGCCTTTAACATATGAGTAAATTCTGAGGCTTTGTCATGCGTTAAGTTGGGGTTTTGTAAGTTCTTTGGTTTGCCTTGTATTTAATTTACATTTTGATGCATTGTTGTTTTGGTTTCTTGTTCAAGAAAAGTATTTGAAGTTTACATTTTATTTGTAAAGGTATAAGCAGTATTTTGTAATTATCATTTGGGTTGGGGAATGGGAGCACATTATCAAAGCTTATAGTAAGAATACTGGAGAACTTTTCATAAAGCAGTACCTTGCCAAAGAGATAAGAGCCTCTTTGATGTGGGTTTTAAAAGCATATATT